TGAGTACATTGAATATAACACAACTTCTTAATGATTTCTTGCTCAGTATATCGACCACTATAATAGCTTTGCCTACATGATAATAATAGAATAATCATAGTCCCTAATCTTCCCATCCGTCTCCTTTTTCTCAAATTAAACACATTCTCAGTAAACAAATCTTTCAACCTTTGATAATCAAAATAAATCTTACATGTCTTTTTCCATAAATTCATAGCAAAAATAATTAAATCTGACCCAAAATCATTAGTAAGGTAATTCCTTCTTTACTATAAGAATACATAGGTGTAACACCAATGAATACAATTATATATGAATCTAGATAAAGTTGAGATACTCAATTTAGTCAATCCATCAAAACAGATGTAGCATTTCTCAATCTCAATGACTTCACCAAAAATACAACATAACTATCCTAGTTGAATATACTGTTTTCAAAACATCATCATTTCTTTCTTTTAAGTAAAGATAACTCAACTTAAAATCATTCTTACTAAATTATCTAGTGCCTCACAACTGATCAAATAAATCATCAATACCACATAAAAGATATTTACTACGTGTGGCTGTCTTATTCAACTGGTAGTAACATATGTACCATTTCACAGTCCAATCACTTTCTTTACAAACACAACATGAGCACCTCACCACAAATTGCTAAATTGAATAAATATTCGGTCTAATATATTTTCAATTAAATTTCCATTCTTCTAGTTCAGCAAGAACCATCCGATACAAAATAATAAATATAAGTAAAGTGCTCCAAAGCTACTAAAAATGTAAATTTTATCTCTCTCCAATGGTAGCATAGACAACTTCTCTTGAAATACATCAAAATATTCTCTTTCTATTGTTATCTATTCAAGATACACTCACTCGCTTTGTATATCAATAATACTACTGTTGTTTTCCTAAAAATCTTTACTCACTTATTTTTGAGCTTGCACTCGTAGATTTAAGACTGGGAAGTAAATAATTCTTGTCCTCTCGAAACTAAATTCACATGACTCTCTTTTCAAAACAACCAACTTTCGTATGTTGTGTAACTAACTAGTCCATAATTAATATCATATCAAAATCCCAAAAGTCTAAAAATACTCAATAAACTAGTAATTGTTGTTCTCCAATATGGACCCTACACCTTGGGTACACGATATCTCCTCACTCAAAACCACCCGTAGTAGTAAATCAAACTCAAGTGCTTTGGGTTCCACACCCAATCACACTACTACTCTAAGAGACACAGAAAAATATATAGGCCCTAAAATTCCATTAGTGTCAGTCACATTTCTTACAATACCCTTACCATCCCATTTTGTAACTATCTCTTGTTTGTACAAAATATCAAGCAAATTAACTAGTTTTAATCACTACACAAATCATTCTGTTAACTATTAACATCATTCTACATCCCTTGAACTAAAACCGATTAAAGCCAACACAACCATTCAGATCCAGCCTAATCCTCTAGTAATTCATAAACCTATGCATTTGGAGTGCTAAATAAGAGGTTTCCCATTATTGGGAGTGGTGCAGAAGCTTGTTATCCAGTGAATACTATTACTGAAATTGTTCTAGCTTGTTGTATTCTACATAATTATGTTATGGGAGTCGTCTTGATGAAAGGTTGATTGCCGAGGTTGAACGGGAGCTCATGCATAGTGAGGTTCACATTGATGATACTTATGACACAAGTACCGATGATGACGACGCTAGGCGAGGAACAATTATTAGGGACTCTATAGCATCTAATATGTGGCGAGATTACGTTTGTCATAGGTCGTGATTCATTTATTTTGGCTCTCCACATTTAAGTTGTAGTTTTAAGTTGAAGTTAGAAATTATGATATAATACGACTAAACTGAATATGCTGTTAAGATTTCTCCTATTTATGAAAAATAGTTCCTGTAAGTATTGTTATCTATTTCCCTATTATGTTGATGGTGTTCAGTGTTTTAAATTGTACACTTATGAAAGTTAATATTTTGATAACTTAATTCTGTTGAACATATCTTTTTTTATCATGCAGTGTCTCATGGGAAAGAAACAAAAAAAGAACGACACAGTTGACAATATTAAGAAGGATAATGAGACATAAAATGAATATTGGGATGAAGTTTTGCTTGATGCTCTGTTAGGAGAGCAATTGAAAGGAAATAGACCCAATGACACATAGTCAACCACTGCTTTTAACAATGTCTTCAAAATACTGAATGAAAAACTTAAATTTTCATTTGTGAAAGACCATGTGAAAAAACACATGAAACTCTCAAAAGTAATTTTTTTGCATGTCATGAAATTTTCAATGGCTTAACTATGAGTGGATTTGCATGAAATCCGGAGACACAACTATGGGAAGCCAAGAATGAAGTGTGGAAAAAACTTATATAGGTAATATTAATAACATTTTGCTAGTTGTAATATGGTTACAATTGCATATATTTCTACTTGTCTTTTTTTTTTTTTTGCATATATGAATTTGGTTTCATCATTTTTTTTTTTTGCATTTGGTTTTGTCATAGGCAAAACCAAGTGCTGCAAAACGGAGGCATAATAAGATCTATCACTATGACAAGTTATATGATCTCTTTGCAAAGAATAGAGCTACAGGGGAAGGGGCTGTGAGCGCAAGAAGAAAAGTTCATCAATGGAAAAGGGAGGAAAATGATAATCTAATAGATCTTAATGATGGAGTTGATGAATTTAGCTTGAACTTTGAGCCAATTTCTCCTATTTCTACACCTTTTCAAGCTACCTCACAAACAGCTACATCATCGAAAAGTTTCAAACGAAAGGCAAGTACGTTAGATGTTTTGAGACATGATACCTACTTACTACAATATGTGCATTTTGGATGTTGTATGCTGGTAATCTAGCCTTTTTGTGTTCAAACTTGGATAAGTATGGACCTTATACTATAGGTTGGTGACTTTTGTAAAGAGAAAAAAGATTTCAAGTTGTCACCGACCAAAATATGTAAAGTGTGTATAACAAATATTATGTTTTGGGACTTTTTACTATATACTTGCATGGACAGATCAGTGGAAATACCATGTTTTGTTTCTTGGTAAGATCTTATTTTCTTGTTTTGGCTATAAAAATTTCTTGTCCATGTATCTTGGTACTTTTGAAGCTTATATACACATGTCCCACTTCAACATTTTTAAATCCATTTCATTTGAGTAATTTTAGTTCTATTTGGTTGCAGTATGGGCTATGGTTACTGTTTTGAGTTGCTTTCTTGTTTGATTATTTAATTTAAAGGCGTGGTACAAAACTATAGGTGTCAAGTATAGAGAGATGAGTTATATATGCAACTTCTAAAATGAAAATGAGCAGCGTTTTGAAGCATTTGATTTAGTTCTATTTGGTTAGAGTAAGGTTTGTGGTCACTGTTTGCTTATTCAATTAAAGCATGGGTACAAAAATTCAGGTGTCAAGTATTGGAGCCATCATCATGCATTTTTCTGTTAAAAAAATGAGCAAGCAAGTTTTGTCCTTTGTAAGAAGATTGTGGCTTAGCAATCTTTCAAGGTTTACCATGATTTGATTAATTTTGCATATGAATAGGGATTGCTAGTTGGTACTTAAAAAGAGTTTTTGATCATATTTTTTAAGCTACGTTGGTTCAACAATTGAGTGATCAAATTGTTGATATGCACACGACTTGCACAAGAAATGGTTGTATTATGTATTGGCAAACTAATGAAGGAAGGAGTGCATAGTTGTATGACCTTAATTCTAGATATTTACTAATTTTCTTATTATAAAAAAAAATAAGGTTATTGGTTAGATATCCTTTTGTAAAAAAATTCTCATCTAATATTTAAAAGAAAATTGAATTTTGACTTCTTCTTTTTGCCCCTGGCAATTCATTTCCAATAATGGATCCCCACAAACATCTCCCAATAATCTTTCGCAACATGTTAGCACAAATGAGTCATTAATTGTTCATTGCAAGAAACATTAGTTGCCCAATATATTACAAGGTTAGTAAGGGTAGAGTAGTAATTTTCTATGTACATATTTTTCCTTTCCTTTCATTTTTCATCCAATACTAAATTATAGAAAGTATATCTCTCATATTTTTCATCTTTCTTACCAAATAAAAAAGAGGAAATATGTATTTCTTTCCTTTGAGGAAGGAAAATATATTCTTCTTGTTTTTCTATTTCTTCTATTTTTCATCAATCCAATCAAACGGACCATTAGATTCAAATTTATGACGTGTGAATTTAATTCTTCGCATGTTACTGTCATTATGAATTTTTTGGGCTAATTTCAATTTACACTTTAAAACATCACTTGAATATCAATTTGTACCCTCAAAGTTTAAAAATATCAATTTATACCGTAAAAAATATAAATTTATATCAATGTGCACAATTGTAGACAAAAAATAACAGTTTAACGAGTATTGTAGGCAAAAAATAGGTATTTTATAATTGTTAAAAAATATTAAATAATATTATATAAATTACCGTAAATATAAAATATACGACATAGCACAATTGACTCTCCACGAAAATATTTTGTGTTAAAAATATTTTTTTATCGATTCGAACACAACACGAAAATGATACGACATGACACAAAATAACATGATACGACACAATTAAGAGGTATTCAACAAGTATTAATGGATGAAATTTTTTTTAAATGTAAAATATTTAAACTTTAAAGGTACAATTTATAATTATTCCAAATTTTTTTAACTGCAAAGTGGATGATGGTATAAAATCTCCTGTACATATTGATACTAATTTATGTCGTTCATGGTTTTAAATTGACTGTATTAAATTAAGATTTAAGTGATGTCATAGTGCAAAGTTGATAATTAGCCCGAATATTTTATCTAGCACCGACCCAGCCGTATTTTAGCCCGTCCTGTTTCTCCGAAAAGTAACCCACCCGTTTCGTTCTTCATTCTCAGATAAAAACCCTCGCACCTTTAAAGTCTAGGGTTTTCTGCTCTCCAATTCAGTCTCGGTGGTCCGCCATGGTTTGTTCTTGAACTAACCCGCAGATCTTTACTCTGCTTTTGTCAATACATTTCTCAATTTTCTATGTATTCTTTCTGACGTTGATTTTGTTGTTTTTTTTTTTTCTTCCTTTGTGATGCTTATTGATTGTCAAATAAAAAAAGCCGCAAGGAGATTACATAGAGCTACACAGGAAGAGACATGGCTATCGCCATGATCACTTCGAGCGCAAGCGCAAGAAGGAGGCTCGTGAAGTTCACAAGCGTTCCCAAATTGCACAAAAGGTTCAACTTCTTCACACACTTTTCTCTCTTCCCTCTCCCCTCTCTCCATTTCTCTATGCATATATGTAAACTGTTTAGAGTTTGAATTTAGTTCAATTTGAATGGAACAGGCATTGGGTATCAAGGGTAAGATGTTTGCTAAGAAACGTTATGCCGAGAAGGCCCAAATGAAGAAAACGTGAGTTCTCTCTCTCTCATGCTTTGGTTACATAGTGTTTTCTTTGGTTAGCTGTTGTTATGTAATATTTTGTTATATTGCTATACTTGTGTGGAGAACGGGAAAGGTAGTAGAAATGGTGCTTCTCTTATTTACATTAATATATGTTTTGCCCTTAAACATAAACAAATCGGGGCTTGAATGCTGATTCTCTCGAAAAGTAAGCCAGCGATATTTATGTTCGCTCGAGAGCTTTCATAGGTTCCTACACCAGCATGCCCAATGACCTTTTTTTGTTAAATTGTAAATGTTGATCAACCAGGCATGTGTTTGTGCCTTCTTGTTAATTTATAGGGTGAAGAGTTGTTTGGACCAAATTCTACATTTTTCAGTAAAGAAATGATGAATGACACCTGTCCATTGAACAAAGTTAAAATAAAAATTGCTATGTGGCATTCATTTTATTGAAGGTGAATATGTAGCCAGTTTTGGATTGGATCAAAAAAAATATATATATGTAGCCAGTCAATGTGGCCTGTTCAAATTCAAGAGTTCAAGAGCAGCAGATGAGAGGGATAAAAATGATTATCTTTGAATTTTAAAAAGCAGCAATTATCAGCATCAAATGAGTTCTAGGAATTCAAAAGTAGCAATAGAGACAAGGGAGAAATTGGAGAGGAAATTGCCTTAAAAAAGCCAGAGCAACCGTAGATGGAAGATGCCTATAAAAGGGGCATTAATTGTAAGAAGAAGACACGATCAAACCCATGACTTGGATATTTTAAGAATAGTTTTAGTCTAGATTTAGAGATAGGATTAGTTTTAGGGACAAATTTTATTGTAATCCAAGAATCTTTTAAAAGTGTTCTTCTCTTTTGTTAATCTTTTTACTGTCACTTTACTTGTTTTAATTCTGTTGATTGTGATCATTTAAGGAAGTTAGACAAGACAATTGAACCCAACAACAAGTAGTTGCTTGAGATCTCTTGAAAAATGGATGAAGTCCATCGATTGTAGGAGAAATTCTTTGTGGAGACCAACAAGTGCTCTAGAAGTTAGGAAGCACGGATACTCCTCCGAAGGTCGATGTGGCGGTGTCGGACACGTGTCCGACACAAATACGCGTTGGACACGGCGGGACACGTGTCCTACACTTCCACAAGTGTCCTAAACAATAATCAAGCTGATTTTGTGGATGGATACGAGTCGGATACGGGGTGATATGGCTATAGATCTTTATTGAAACCTAATAAAAAAAAAAGGGTAGAAGACGTTACAGACCTAAGATCAGCCACATATTTCATCTTCTTCTACTTATACGACTCGCCACAAACCTGAGATCAGACATGGGTACTTTGGGATTCATCTTCCGGATGCTTTTGGAGGCTTGATGCCATCAAATCTCTCATAGATCGAGTTGATGTGATCGGCTCTCTCTCTGTGCGATTGGTGTGATTGGCTTGCCCTAGATGCTCGCAGCATCGTTCTCTCTCTCTCTCTCTCTCTCTCTCTCTCCCCGTTATGTCACCCGAACAATTAGACTTCTTATTAGTCTAGCCCACAGCTAATAATGTTTAGCCCCCCAAATCATTGCTCATAACATTTAGTCCACTTATTAAATTTAATATTAACTCATTTGTCTAGTTATAAAATATTAATTAATTTCATAATTTTATTATTAATGTTATTATATATATAAAAAAATATTATATTATTTTAATTAGCCGTACCCCGTGTCCTATATTTTAAAATTTTGTCGTATCTCTGTGTTCATATCGTATCGGATACGACACCTGTGTCCATATTCGTACTTCCTAGTCTAGAAGTTTAAGAGGGAGGGATTGGGTTGTGAGAGGTTCTTGGGTTTAATTTTTCTTCTATTTTTGTTCTCTTCTTTTTTTTTAATTATTACTATTTTGACTTCGTTGGCACGGACAATTTTCGAATTTTCAAAGTTTCAATAGTCGCTAAGATATTCATGACAATTTTACACCTGTTTTTATCAGTGAGATAATGTCCTTTGTTAGGTCATCAATCAAAGAGCTTAGGTAGTTCAGAATTTCCCTGAGTATAGCATTACTATTTTTTGTTATTTTGTTGACGTGATACTGGAGATAAATATGTTGTTTGATACATTGAAAACTAAGATAAGTCACATGGTGATGTACCTTCAGGGCTAGATGCCATTGCTTAAACATTTTCTTCTTCATTGTATGTTAAGTAATTGGTAAAACATGTTGACAACTATGGACTTAGAGATTCCTTGGTGAAATTTAGAGAGATAAACATAATGGAACAGGAAATATCCATCAAAAGCTGAACTGAGTTACATCATATTGATTGCTGCTATCCCCTTTGAAGAAAAACTCCATGACCAACTCAAAAAGCGGAAGTAGATTAGAGTTCTCTCTCCAAAGAAAAATAAAAATTGAACTATTCTACACGTTCAGAAGATGTTAAAGATAGGAAAAGTGACAAAAGTCTTTTGGCATAGGTGTGGGGGATTTGTGTGGCTCCATCTATTGTGATGATGTGCAATGATAAAGTCCATAGAAATTATATCATATGCCATCAATTACGGCAGGAAGGAATTATGATATGGCTAACATTATCTGCGTTATTTTTTTGTTCATATGTGATTTTAGCCTCCTAATACCATTTCTTTAGATTGAGAAATTCTTACATATCTTACGGAGCATGGTTTTTTCTTTTTTCTTATAGCAGTTATGGTATTTACACCCCTGGACTTCTTTTACCCCTACTACTTTTCTTTTTGAAGCTTGAGTAGGTGAGAGAGATAATTCAGTAAGGAACTGAGGACCATTATAATAAGGCAAAGTTAACTGTGGTTACCATTGTGAAAGCAGTCTATTATGTATGATTGAAATATTCTCAATACTTCTACGTCTACATCTACACCTTCACATGCATACATTTAGATTGAAGTATCTGTGTGTGTAGCTTAAATAAGCAATAAAAGGTACATGTGCTTTATAGTTGTTTTTTCAAGTATGTTTAAGTCAGATTTATGTATGTGTAAGCCTTAAGGAGCCCATTATCTTTTGTTTGTTCATTTTATGATTATTGTATTTATATCTGTATTTTTCTGTGGCCAATTAATGTTTAGAGGATGTATTGTGGGTGAGGTTTGATTCTAGATTTTATGTATACTCTGTTGCCAGATTGTCTATGCACGAAGAATCATCAGCGAGACGTAAGGTTGATGACGAAGTTCATGAAGGAGCTGTTCCTGCCTACCTTCTTGATCGTGAAACAACTACTCGGGCAAAGGTATGGCTATTTAATTGATTGGATTGCTTTTGCTATTGCTCTTGTTTATGCATAGTTGTGAGTACAAATTATTGTTGACCATATACTACAACTTATTTGACTTTTTCCTTTTTTAGGTTCTTAGCAACACCATTAAGCAGAAGAGGAAGGAGAAAGCTGGCAAATGGGAGGTACCTCTACCCAAGGTATGGTTACTTAAACTTTTTCATAATATAGCTTTATGATGTTTGCTTCCTTCATTATCCTGCATGGCTTTTGTTTATTACTTAGTAATGCTTGTTGGATCCTCCATGCACGTCTAGCACTGGAAAAAGGCACAGTGTGCTATTTTTAGTGGATTTTTAGGAGTTTTTCCTTGGATAAAAGAGGAAACTGGCAGATTTAGTAAATACTGGTACAACTCAACCATGCACACAACATAGTTCAAGCAACCACGCCTGCATTTAATAATTTTACCGTGGGAAAATTTTACATTTCACCTCTCTAGTTCAGGGTCAGAGGTACGCAAGTTATTCCAATTTTCTCAGCTTGGTTCCCAGACTTGACACTAAAGCAATTGTCGCTCAATTGTTAACACCGATCAATGAAATTGTTAACAAAGTCAATGTAGCCCATTCATGGTTATCAAAATTTTGATCCGGATCGTTGGATCCTAAGCTCTACTATTTGCAAATCGACCTGAGTCTCTTGAAAATCCTTAGGACATAAAATTTAAATGGATCCTGAACCAGGTCATGTAGGATTTTAGGATCTTGACCCCAATTACGATTTTATTGATCCCAGGTGGTTGGGTTTATTTGTTAGGCGTATTCACCGACACCTCCTCGGACTATGTCCGACAAGCCAACAAGCCGGTCTATATCCCAAGAGTCTTCGATCCTTAGCTTCTCGGGACGAATGGCTTTGGTTTCGCTTGATTCAAACCATCTATATCGAGCCACAGCTTATGACGAAGATTCAGGCAAAACCGAGTTTGGATGGAACTAAACAAGATTTGGCGAACGAATACAAAGGTCGAAGGCTTTATTATTTAGAAAATCAAAGGAGGTTATTCATTCTGTCCTCTCAAAGCTATAGTTTCCCTTTGTTAGAAAAAGCTTTCTTCATTCTTTTGTCTCTCATTGAAGGGTAGAAAATAATAGTTGGTTTTGTTTTCTTCATTCCATTTTTATTGTCCATTTTTTTTTGTGGGATATCAAATAGTCAAATTGTTTACTACACAGTCTCTCGAGTTTTCCAGTCTCCCCTTTGTCTTCACCTTTCTTAAAGTTAATATCAAAATCCAATTCTTCTACCTCTCTTCACAAAATCCGACTAGATGAACAACTCACTTTTGATTTTCTGTGCCCTTCAATATTGAGACTGTAATTTTACAAGTTTTAATAATATTTTTTGCATTCTATATGTTTGTCATGACATTATACATTTCACACATATATCTAAGTTTTTTAATTTCTGTTTTAAGAGTTCTATGTTGTTACATATATTTTTAGTCCCATTTCTTCGGTTTGTACGATTTTATGATTCTAGGTCCAATCCTAATATCCCGATCATTTATCGATCAGATATAGGATCTCAATTTTAAAAAGCTTGGGCCCAATTGATAACACATGGTCAACTTTTTGCTACTTGACGATTATAAAACTTGGTAAATGAGAGCTGTTTCAACTTTTCAGGTCAGGCCTGTGGCCGAAGATGAAATGTTTAGAGTAATCAGATCTGGTAAACGGAAAAGTAAGTATTCTGCACACTGTCTTCTTTTGCAAGTTTTGTTACCTATTTCAGCACGAATGATGTGGTAGTTGTTTACTCATTTATGCCCCATTCCCCTTTACAGCGAAGCAGTGGAAGAGGATGGTCACCAAAGTCACATTTGTTGGACCAAGCTTCACAAGAAAACCTCCTAAGTATGAGCGTTTCATCCGTCCCACAGGGTTGCGCTTCACCAAAGCTCATGTAACGCACCCTGAACTCAAATGCACTTTTAATCTTGAGATCATAGGCGTAAAGAAAAATCCAAATGGTCAAATGTATACCTCTCTTGGTGTTGTGACCCAAGGAACTATTATCGAGGTAAATGCTGCTTATTTTGGTTATGTTTTTGGCTTGAATTCAACCTAGTTGTTGTCTTAATTCATTCAGATTTCTGTCCTTGATATCAGGTGAATGTCAGTGAACTTGGTCTGGTCACACCTGCTGGAAAAGTTGTATGGGGTACGATTTTCCTTTTCTGTTTCCTCTTAAATAAATGTTATTCTTTCTCCTTCCATCATATATTTTAAATTTTATTTGCTTATACGTGGTGGATGCAGGAAAGTATGCTCAGGTGACAAATAATCCTGAGAATGATGGTTGTATTAATGCTGTTCTACTTGTCTAGAAGTATTAGGCAGCAGCCTGCAGAAAAGGGTCACTATTGGTCGGCAATAGTGAAGACATAAATTACTGTCTGTCCAAGTTTTCTCTAGAGACAATTTTCTCCTCTGCATGTAGGTACCAGTTTTCTTGTATCCTTAAATCAAGTTAAAATATCGACTGTAGTGTAAGAAAATTGTGGGCGTTTTTATTTTGTATGGAGAAGCAATTTGGTACATGGTCTTTTATATCGTCGGGGTTGTGCACCAGGTTGATATATGGTTGCTATTGCTAAGTTTACCCTCGATATATAATGCTGTAATGATTGTAGAATCTACTAGAGTTTTTAGATAATGTTGGTTCAGATGTCGACGTTGGAGTTTTGTAACAATTTTGACATGTTGCAGTGGTAGTGGTAGCGAGCACAAGGGAGGTTGTCTTCGCCAATGGGTGTCGTCCTTAGTTGCTTGGAGACAATGTCAACTTTGTTTGCTGTACTTTTGCTTCTTAAAACCGTGGACTGAAATCTTTCCAACGCCTCTTGATATTCTCTGCTGATTTCGTTAAATTCAAGGCTAGGCTACTACTGTGCATAAAAGACAGATCAATACCCATCTTCGAGAGAAAAAAAAAATATAGGACAAGGGTTTTTTTTGACTTTCCTCCTCCCCTTTTTTCCCCTTCATACTTGTCAATTGTAGATTTTCCAAGAATTCATCACCTCATTTTACCAAATTCGTTAATTGAAGTTTACTAATTCACGAATTCAAGTTTAATTTTGTTGTCTATATTTGTTTTGGAGTTTTAATCAAACATACTTAACACCAATCTTTTACTTTTTGGAGATGGATATGTATCAAACTTGAATAATACTTAATTTATGATTGTTATTTTGAAATCTTAAAAATTGACGTGTTCGTTCTCCTCGACGTCGACGAGGAAATAGCGGGCGCACCCATGAAGATATCTGCATTAAAAGGAAGACAATTCAACAATTAATATATATGAAAACTAATATAGACGATCAACATGTGCTTGGTGACCATCATTTAAAACCCATAAATTGTGGCCTAAGCATCAAGTTTCTGGACTCTTCGTTAGACCTTCCAAACTTGGCCACTGACTACAAGTAAACCAGCAAAAGCCCCATCTGGCAATCCATTCTACATACAGCCCATAGACAAAATGGCTAAAATCGTCCCTAAATTAAATATCATCAGCTGCAGCCTTGAATTACCCAATTCTCATTTTGTCCTTTCTCTAGAATTTTTCTTTCTTGGGCCTATTTCAGCCCGCATCGCATCAATTTATAAAGCTTCCTAATGTTACCTGCAATGAAACATATATGTCATAATATTTTCCTCCTCACAAACAAATGAGTTGAGAATGGTAAGAAGTCTATAAATTGCCTTATTGGAAAAAGATTTAGGGTCAGAGGTGGATGGATGTATTATGATGCCAGCAGGTAGTCTACAAGCAACCTCTTGGGCTACTACCCTTTTCAGTTTTGGGGGTTATGGAAGGCAGGGGTGGGTGGTCCGGCATCCCTTTAGTAGCCAGTGCTGCCTTCACCCAAAGAGGGAAAAACAAAGTTCCTCGTCGATAATCTATGATGCTATATCCAACGTTGAAAGGAATTCATACTATATATGAAGATAAATACAGAAATACCACTAATGAAGCGAAATTAATTGAGCCCAGGATTATGCTGGTGCATGTGAAGAAAGATATAAACATATTACTAGTCAAGTGAAATCAACCAACCCAGTTTTTAAAGTCCAAGCTAGAAAGAGAGATTGATTCGTACAGATGTATATATTGATTGCTTTTGACATATCTGTGATTAGATGATTATACATAAGAACTTGGGAAAACTTTTACATGTCAAACTACACCAAATGAGAACCGCCAGCGAAGTCCAATATCTAAACCATGGCACCAAGGGGAGAAAAAAATGATATTTTGCAAGAAACAAAAAGAGAAAACAGCAGACTCAAAAGATGATGTCCACGTGATATCGTGATGTGGAACCAACAAAAGGGTATGTAAATAGAGAAGCAGACAAACCTGCACAGGTGTTGCTGCAATTAATGGACCAATCAGAGGACCACCAAAAACATTGAAATCTGAATCAGCAAAAGTAACTAGCAAATTGCAACTTTCCTGCACTTGGCCGTCCTCTTTCCAAGAGTAGCGGCCAGAGATTTTAACCATATCAAATGCTCCCTGCAAGAGTAGCACATGTAAAGAGCTCGAGACAGGTCATAATAGAGAAACATGCAGGTTGGTGGTTGTTTGTGATTCTTTTTTTTTTTTGGGGGGGGGGGGGGGTGGGGGTGGGGGGGGAAGCTTGTGAATCGTGATAGGTTTGCCATCCCCAACTATGGTGATAAGCAACTATGATGGTCATTATGCATAGCAGCAATACTTATAACGCCATCGGCTACTCAAATGAAGCTTGACTAAAAAGCATTATTACCTAGTTTAGTCCTTGTTAGCCAAGGGCGTTGGTGTCAACACTGATTGTCTTTCCTTTCATGTTACCAGTAATAAGCCACACACATAAATAATTTTTTAGACAAAAATTAATAAATCAATATTTGATATATGTGTACCTAAATTAAATATCATCTCAAATTTATCAAACTTATTTTTGTATCACTCATATTCTATTATAGAATTTTTGAAAACTTTGTATGTTCCAAAGATTTATTGTTCTAACTTCAACAAAAAGGATAAAAAATAAATAAATAATTAAAGTTCTAATTTTGTTTCTATAATTTTGTATTTGAAAGTGATATTTTAGTGATGTTTGAAAATTAAAATTTTTAAAATTAATTTGATTAAGATTATATTTATATAACATTGAATAAAATACAAATAATTGTCAATATACAAATCATATTAGAACCTTACTGTATTTAGAATTAGTTAGGTCAATTGAGATAATATTTAATATATTACGCTATAATATATTTAAATTTTAAAAATTTCAAGTTTTCCTTAAAAATATACTTCAATCTATTTTCACATAAAATCTTAACACAATTCGAAAAAATATGTAAAACTATATATACATTATTTTTTATCTTAAAAATTAAAAGGTTAAACATTTTGATGAAAAAAAAATATACATATGTAGTCATAATGTCATCTTTATTAATGAGATAAGTAATGTTAGATTGTTGGAGTTTTTAAAGTTTTTTTTGAATATTTTATTAAAACTTATTATAATGCATATATTTTTTAATAGTAATATAGTCAAGCAAAAAGTTTTATAAAAATTTATATTTAAAAATAAAAATTGATAATTAAAAGTGACCATTTATGTAATTTGGAGATTGAAATGCATAAGGATACGATGATAATTTAGATATTATGTGTGAAAGGATAAAGTGGTCTTTTTAATTCTTTATGAGGGTAAAATTGAATCAAAAGTTTTTGATGTTAAGGTACTTTTATTAATAGTATACTATAGAGTATAGATAGATATGTTTGATTATATAAATTCTCAGTCAAAGGGGGATTTCTTAATACCTTGCAAGTTGATTTCTTAATCAAAGGGAATCAATATATCTCCTTTTATGTAGATGCTAGCTATGTATTTCCCCAATCAAAGGAACCATTGATTGTAAAGATAACAAACATAGAATACATATTCTATATATTGAAGAGGCCTACAAGGGTATGGCAATCAATCACTCAGAATTCATTGTTTCTTAGTCTTATTCTTCAAAGTTGTGTCATTTTGTCATGGTATCAAAGGCATTCTAGAGTTTTCTTTTGGAGAAAAAAAAGGGTTATCTTACTGGTTTTCTTGTTACTTCTGTGCACAATGTCTGCCCTGTAGTCTCTCTCTTTTGATTCTGGTTTCGTAATTGATACTCTACGAATCAATCATGATTGAGAGGGTTGTTAAATTCAATGGGAAGAATTACTTCTCGTGGGAGATCCAGCTTTGGCTCTTTGTGAGAGTAAAAATCTTTGGGGACCACAGATGAGTCAGTTGGTAAAAACCCACTAACTCTACCAAAAGAGTCAGTGGGAGAGCAATGACGTAAGGATTATGAGTTGGATATAATTAAGCGCTGTAGTGTTGATCAACATATTGTTGTCAATCTACGGCCTTATAAAACTTCAAAGGAAATGTGGGATTTTTTCTATACAACTATTATTCTGGTCTCATGAATTTGTGGACTGAATATAGCCAATTGATATATTCCACAATTGCCCCAACTTCTCTTCAGATTTTAAAAGGCTAATAAGGACACCTACCCGATCAATTCTTGATGAAATTGTCAAGGTGACTATGAGATAGTCGATCAAGCTTTTGACGTGTGTGTGTGCTGTGCCTACACTCTTCCAAGGAAGTCTGCCTTGTGGAACTTCTTCGAGAAGAACAACACCACATCACTCAAACGACAATTGAACAAAAAGGGGGATCCACTTTGGATGTTGCTTATGCTGGCTAAATACGAATCGTAGACCTGAGTAATAATTCAATGTTATAGTTGCAAAAGAATATGACCGTCACTTTAGCACCATCAGTGCCAAAGAAATTTCT